GATGGGCTCTGCGCCTCCGCCGCCGTCACGGCTTTCCCGGGTGCCAACCGCCACCCATCGCTCCCTGCCCGCTGGCTCGTCCCTGGCAAAGCTGGGCACCTCCCGGGTCCCCACAGGACCTCGGAGCCTCCCAGGCATGAGGCCACGGTGAGGGTCCTCCCACTCCCTCCGACCCTCCTGAGATGGAGCAGCCAGGCAGGAAAAGCGACCGCAAGCCAAGAGGGAGCTCCCGTGCGAACGCGCCCTCGAAGGCCCCGGGGAAGGGAGGGGAGAGCTGGGCTCTCGCAGCCCCGGCAGCCCGGGCTCACCGGGACGGCGATCAGACGCTCGGCCACAACACCCGGCACTGCCTCAAACGCCACAACACCCACAACTCACCTGATTCATCGCCCGTCACCTCAGCCCCGTGGGAGCCGGCATGTCCCCACATCAGGGCAGGCACCGGGGGACTGCGCCCAGGGCTGGGCTGCCCTCCCGGGGCTGCTGCTGTTTTCCCTTTTTAACATTTTTAGAAAAAATAGAGAGTGAAGCTCCCGCTGGTTGTTCACGAGCCGTTTGCTTCAATCCCTTTGCAGAAACAGGCTCTCAGTGGTGCCCGTTCGGCACACACGGTCAAAATGGGGGAAGAAATGTGCGAAACGGCATTTCTGTGCCCACATTCACAGCCCGCGCTGGTGACACCTTTATCTCCTGGTTTGCTTTTCCCAGTTTGGACCCGTTTTTCTTTCCAAACCACGTTCAGCTGCTCTGGGCACATCTCGCGTGGGAGGGGACAGGCTCAGCCCAAAAAACCCCAGGGATGGGGACAGAGATGTGGCCAACGCCTCTCCCTCCCGCGGTGCCCATCAGTCCCCGCCGGGTTGGTGGCCCCCGGGGAAGGACGGCTCTGCCCCGAGCACTGAGCCACTTCAGAGCCCGGCACACACCAACGCTTTTCCCCTTGCACGTGGCTTGGGCTGCATTTGCTCTGGAAGGGTGAAAGCCTTATTGTAAACTTTCTGGCCACTGGAATTCCTCCCTGGGTCACCGAGGTGAGCGTCACCGCAAAAACCCAGGGGGGGAAAAGCCTGGCACGCGCCTTTCTGCGCTTCTCCCTGCCCTCTCCCGCTTGGGCGCAGCCCGACCGTGCCCGCGGGATGCTCGGCTCCTCCCGAACATCGGCTGGTCAGACACCTCCGGCACCAAACACCCCCAGGTCCCCCCCAACAGGC